CCTGGCCCATAACCAGTTGAAGCTGCCATCTCTCAATGGTTGGAAATGCTGGTAACCATGGAGGGAAAACGCACACCGCCTGCTGTTGAGCTTGTTCTGCATGAGCACCTTTTCCCCCTTCCAAGATGGCCGCGTTCAGCCGAGTCGCAGCTTCACAGGCTCCTGGTGAACTTGATCTTTTTTTTTGTTCCTGTTGTTTTTGTTTTAACCTTTTTGTGCACCTACAGTGCACATCCACAGTGCGGGTGTGACCGCGACACACTCGTGGAGTTTTCTGTGCCGCTGCCTTGCCATCCTGCCATCGTCAAGTCAAGTCACATTTATTTATATAGCACATTTAAAACAGTAACTGTTATCAAAGTGCTTACCAAAAAAGATCACAGCGTCAAATATTAATAACGACATATTACAGCAACATGAATAAAAGCATAAAAACATTAAATATAATGAGAAACAATGAGATACTAAATCAAATCACCCTGCGTTAGACGTCAGGGAGTAAAAGCAAAATGGATGAACACAATCGTCAACAACGAAATACCAAATGAGATCACACTGTGTTCAATGCCAGTGAGTACAGATGTGTTTTGAGGAGAGATTTAAAAATAGAGAATGAGGTGGCCTGTCGAATGTTGATGGGCAGATTGTTCCAGAGTTTAGGGCCCATGACTGAAAACGCCCGTGGTTCAGTCCTTCCAGCCTCGGGCTCAGGCCTGTCATGGCGGCTGTCTCCATGATCCTCCATCTGCCTGCACGGACCCAACTCTACGGACCCGTTCGGTTCCGCGTAGAAACCTGGATGTTCTCCGTCTGCCGGACCTGGTTCTGGAGGGCTGTCTGGGAGGGCAGCTGCTGCGGTCATGGTGCCAATGGGACCATGCTGCTGTAGATTTATTTATTTTTCACTCTTGGTGTCTTGTTTCTGTATTTTTGTTGCATGCTTTGAATAAATCCTAGTTTATGTTAGTGCTCACATTAAGCGTGTAAATTATAGCCGAACAGAACTTATGAGATTTGTGCTGCTGCTGTTCGGTGGATTGTTTTGCATGATTAGCGATTAGCATGTATCTTAAAATTTTTTTAGCGTTCGTTTAATGTATATCTTAGTTTATATCTCAGACCCTTATTTACTGTTTCTTTTTACACTTTATATTTTTGCTGTTGTTTGATGTAATGGGACCCTGTGTACACAAGTTCGTTCCACTACATGTACCACATCTGATGTGAATGACAAACTCTTGACTTTTCCTCAAAAGAGACCTGTGGCCACGTATTGAAAATTGCACACCTGTGTGTGAGACTCCATCCACAACGATACAATTCAGCAATCGGTCTCACTAATCCCACCTTCCTCTGTCACACCAACCCTCTGCACCTGTGAACCTTCTCTGTGGTCTTCCTCAGGTCCTCCTCACGGGCACCTTTCCAAACCAGCCTCTAACTTCATCTTCAACCCTGAGCTGTCCCTCTGATCAACACATTTTATGTTGGTCTCCAACTGCAAACCCCAGCGTCTTCATCTCCGCCACCTCCAGCTCCACCTCCTGTCTTTTTTGGGGAAAAACATCATAATCAAACTTATAATATTATAACAATTTGACTTCAGTCACTGTTGTTAAAATCAGCCGAGGATTCTGAAAATCCTCAAAACTATTTATTAAATTTGAACTCTTAGAATCCATGGGGATCTACGTCTTAGGGAAGGTCGCCGGTTCAATTTCCTGGACCGACAACATGAAAATTGCTAAAGTGAAATGCCCGCACGGCTCCCCTGAGCTCCCTGGAGAGCAGCTCTCTGCTCCACACAGAGAGCACAGCTCGGTGGTTGTGGCAGGAAGAGCATCCAGGCCAAGTCTTCGTGGGAGTTAGTTCGCTGCGGCGACCCCTGAAGAAGGAGCAGCCGAAAGAAGAAGGATCTAAGACGTCTGTTTTCAGAAACACGTAAAACCTGCTCCACCGTCCAGAACATAAACTTTGACGGTGATTGAAAGAAGGTTGAAGCTCAAGAGCACCACCAACAACGTCTCCAAACAGGGACTGTGCTGCTCCTCAGCTCCTAACATTTATTGTGTCCCAATAACTGAGCGTGTTAGTTTCTGCAGCGACTCACCTCGTTTTGTTTGTTTTTTGTGGTTCGTGTTCGGCAGAGCTGCAGTAAGAGACTCTTTGAAGCAAAAGAACAAGCTTAGACCACAAATGCCCGGAGCAGAAAAAGGAGGAGCGCACGGTGAAGCAGCTTGTTTTCCTCTGAGAGCGAGAGAAAAAATCTGTGCGTAGTTGGTAGAAACGTTTTGGGGTTCAAATCGTCTTTCGGTTTGAGAAGGTTGGCTACATTCAGCGCACGATCCTCACTTACATTTTATTGCTTTCCTCATTTAAATGCTGCTTTTATAGGAGAGAAACATCTGCATTCTTTACAACCTGGACTTGACTGCTTTGAAAAATTAATATTACTGAGTGTCGCCTCTCATGCCAGAGTGTTGGACTCGTTTTATGAAAAACGACACAGTTTTAGCTGTTTAGATCGAACCTTAACTATAACGAGATGTTGCGTGATTTGTTAACCATCAAAGTGTGTGTTGAGAACGACTGTCGTCTACAACCACACCAGGGATGCACAATATTGGATTTTATCCAATATGTTAAAACTTATTTGGCCGATACTAATACCTATATATTTTTTTCCCTAGACCTACTGACGGAGACTACACAGCTTTCTCTGCTGTGGAATTAAAATACTACATTATTCTGCGTGGTCTTTGTCCTGATACCAAATGCAGATGCCAAAAATGGGGCTGAAAATGATGCAACACTAACTTGGATTATGTTTAATGTCAAATTTATTCATGATATTTACTCTTTCGAACACGACAACACTCGAACAGTCGTACAAAAACGGCGCCTTTTATATCGGTGAGTTATTTTGATGGGATGGCTGATATCCAATATTTAACTTTATCGTTATCGGCCGATACCATGCCGATAATATCGTGCATCCCTAAACCACACAAAATAACAACTCAAAATCTGCTAAATTCACTTTGTTCTCAAAGTAGAATTACGCCAAATGCGCCTAGATGTGCTGCCAAAAACTGCTTTCTGAGGGTTTATACAAATCCACTCAGTGGCGTATCAGATATTTTGCTAACAGACAACCTAGGTTGAGTCAAACACGACATCCGTGAAATTTTAGTTCAATATCTATTAAATTAGCAGAGCTATAGTCATTTTTGTGTTTGCTAAGGTCAGCTGACGGCGGCCATCTTGAACCTGATGTTCATCCAGTGAAAACTTCCTGAAAGTTTCATTCAGTTTCCCTGTGACTCTCGAGAGATTTTACGAACTGCTCAGATAAATGGACGCAGCTATAAACATGGTGGCCTCTCGCCTTCGGCTGTGGGTCATGATGACCCCGAGCTTTAGCTGGTTGCCTTTGGGAGCGTGCACCTCCTCCGTGCTCGTAGTAAATGTGGAAAAGCTCGGGCACCCCTCTCTGCCCGCACGCATCATTAAGCTGCGCGGGGAACGCAGACGTGAACTCCTCACTAACGCTGTTTGCCTTCATGGCCCGTTTTGCTCGCCGAACATGGACGTGGCTGAAAGCGTCTCTGCCATGATCATTAAAAGCGGAAGTGTTGGGGTGATGTCCTGCACCGCTGCTCGGTTGTAAAGGCTGCGCTTCATCAGCTGTAAAAATCTGCTGAGCTCGTCATTAGCGGAGGGGATTCAAACCCGCGGCAGCAGTGAGGCGGCTGCTGCTTCTACCGTCTGCTGGGTTTCCGTGCAGCTCGTCGCCGAGTCCCTCCAGAAACGTCCTGATCTGCTCTGAGCCGTGTTTATGGACCAGATGTCCAGTTTTTTATTCTCCTAACGGTTTTAACTTCTTCTATACTTTGTTCATTCATCCGTAAATCAAAATATTCAGCTCGTCCAGGAGATGGGACTTTATGGTTTTATACTTTTCAAAATATTTAACTTAATTTACAAAACATTTTCCCATATCTTCCCCAATGTATTGTGATATCTTCAAGTTATTTTAAAATTATTTTGTCTTTGAAATCTGCTTCAGCAAACTTACTCTAATTTAGTTTTTATTGCTACTTTTAGTTTTTACTGTTCTCTTAAGTTTTAGCTGGACTTTTGCTATTTTTACCTTTAAATATCCCTTTAGCTTTTAGCGTCCTGATGTGTTACTTAGCTGTTACCTACTCTTTCAGCTGTCATTCTGCTACTTTTATCTTGCATATCGCTACATGTACCTTTCTGTTCTGCTACTTTTAGCTTTAAGCTAGCCCTTTGCTACATTTAGCTTTTAGCTTCCTGTTGCTCTATCAACTGGTATTTTTACCTACCATTCTGCTACATTTATTTCCTTTTTTGTATTTTTAGCTATCGTTCAGCTACTTTTTCACACACTTTGCCAGTTAGCTTTCTGTTCTGCTACTTTTAGCTTTAAGCTAGCCATTTGCTACATTTAGCTTTTAGCTTCCTGCTGTGTGACATTTATCTGGTGTTTTTATCAACCGTTCTGCTGCATTTCTCTCCTTTGTGGTACTTTTAGCTATTTTTCAGCTACTTTTTTCTCACATTTTGCCACAGTTCGTTTTCTGTTCTGCTACTTTTAGCCGAACTTTTATTTTTCTAACCATGTTCCAGTTTTAGCTGTTTTGCAAGATGCAACTTTTACATACCTGCTTCTTTTAACTTTACCAACTGGGTTTCAGCTTCATAATTTTCTGTGCACCAGTTTTGTCTCCAGCCAGCTGAAGAGCTGAAACTGGACCTGACCAGAACTTTTCCTCTCTGATGACCAGTTTGAAACCGTTCAGCCTCACCAACCCACAGCTGGAGTTTATGGAAACACAACTCTTAGTTAAAGATTGAAATCTGCGTGTTTTCCCACGCATGATGTGCAGTTTAAAGAGATCAAAGCTACATTTTGACGGACAGCTGCTTGCTTTGACCTCAGTTCCTCTCAGTTCCTCTCAGTTCCTCCTTACCTTGATGAGCTTGCAGCGGATCTGCGCGGACACCATGTGGCTGTTGCGCAGGTTGCCCACGCGGAACATGAGGCACAGCTTTCCGTCTCGCTGGGAAATCACGGCGTCCTGGCTGAACATGAGCGTCTCGGCGCGTTTCTTGGGCTGGGACATTTTGATGAACATGCAGCCGATCAGGAAGGCGTCCACGATGGAGCCCAGCAGCGACTGGAACAGGAAGAGGATGATCCCCTCTGGACACTTCTCCGTGATGTACCGGTGGCCGTACCCGATGGTGGCCTCGGTCTCGATGAAGAAGAGGAACGCGGAGGGGAAGTTGTAAACGTTGGCCACGCAGGGGGTGTAGGTCGCGTCGTGGCCGTGGTTGAGGTCCCCCCGGATGTACGCGATGATCCACCACATGGATGCCATGACGAGCCACGCGATGGTGTAGGTCAGGATGAAGATGAGGAGGTTCCAGCGCCACTTCAGGTCCACCAGAGTGGTGAAGAGGTCCGAGAGGTACCGGCTGGTCTCCCCGCCCAGGTTCCCGTGCTGCACGTTGCAGCGGCCGTTCTTCTCCACGAACCGCTGGCGCTTCTTCTTCACCGGAGCGGAAAACGTGGTGGCCCGGTTCGTGTTGACCACCTGGTAGTCCTCTCCGAATTTTCTGCGAAGTGCCGCCATGTCAGCCCCGGCAGGTGTGAGAAGAACCGGTTTAATCCATGTTCTGTAGCGTCTCAGCCTCCAGAACTCCGGTTACCTGCGGTGCGTAAAGCGCGCCATGGTCACTCCAGCGCGCGCAGCGGATCCTGGGATTCTGTTGAGAAATGAGCGCACGTGTCTACGCGTTTAACGCCCAATAGTTATCCTCATCTTTATAAAGGAAAATAAAACTAAAAGTCCAGTTAACCAACATGACCGGTCCGTGCGCGCTGCTCAGCCGCGGAGCAGCGCAGGATTCAGCTCCTGCCGGGATGCTCAGAATGAAGAGTTAGAGACGTGGAGACAGAAGGAGGGAGGGGAAGGAGCAGGGAGAGAGGAGGAGAGACTTGCAGAGGGAGGTGGGCAGTTTGACTCCTCATCTGTGTGGAGTTCAGTCGATCCGTCAGATTAAAACCAGCGAGACGCACAGTTTATCCACGTGTTCCTTTTTACATCACAGCTCATCTTCCATGAAAATAATCCAAATAAACATCCTGATGCATGCTCAATAACAATATTGTACAAATACTGTAAACATTCCTTATTTCTTAGATCAACACCGCCCTCTGCTGGAGGGATGTAAATTATTTACCCGTCAGTTTATTTTCTTTCATCTGAGCAAATAATGTTGATAACTTCACAGCACAGTTTAGTTTCTTACAGTTTCTTTGGATTTATTTAGTTTTGTTTTATCTTACACCAGAATTTCCCATATTTTATTTAGTCATTAAGTCGTTTACCTCATTTTGTTTAGATGTTTAATGTCTAATAAATTAATTCCTGGGCTGCCTTCCTGAAGGACAAACATAAAATGAATGAGTCGCCCTTGGTTTTGATTTGCCATCATTTTAATGTATCTGCTCTAAAAAATAAAAAAAAAGGTGCTGCATGTAAAGCCATTTGTGGTGACTAATGTTTAAATACTTTTTGAATCAGCTTTAAAAGAACTAAACCTCTAAAAAAAAAAATTGTGTTCAGTCCTCTTTTGGTTGAAACCAAAGGGAGTGATAAAGAAGAAAATGTGGACCCTTAAATTACCTAATATCATGATTTTGCAATATTTTTTTAATAATCTCCATTTTCCATTTCTTGTCTGTGGTCAGATCGTAGCGGAAACGGGCCCAGAAGAGAAACCCAGACCTCCCTCTCCCCAGTGTCACCCTCCAGCTCTTCCTGGAGGATCACAAGGTGTTCAGAGTCCAGAGTGGATAGAGAATGTCTGCAGTGAGTTCTGCCCCAGGGTCTCCTCACCTTAGCAGACTCCTTTTTATGTGAAGGAGCAGTGGCTCTACTCCGAGCTGCCTCCGGATGTCACCGGGTCTCTAAGGCTGAGCTCAGACACCTACAAAGCTCACTTTGACCCCTCGTAGCCGGATCTTGTTCTTACAGTCATGATCCAGACCTCATGACCGCAGGTGAAGCTTCTCTCACGCAGCTGCTTCTCAGACTTGACCTTTGACTCTTTGGGGATACATGTAAATCACTTTATCATTTTATATCCTAAGAAATTATGCTTATCATGCTTATCATTACCATTCAAGTAAAATCTTTTTAAAAAATCCTTAAATTTGCCTTAAGGAGCTAAAGTGACATTTTGTTTATGTCACAAGCTAACATTCAGGTACAACTCAAATGTTCAGAGGTTTAATCAGAAACCGGATGTGAATTTTAATTTTGATCCGACTCGAACTGATGCAACAGCCGTGGAAGTCGTCGTGCCGTTGCTCATTTTTGCATTTTGCTCAAAGTCTTTTAACAGTTGAATGAAATATACGGAGAGCAGTTTCTTTTAGTTTTACTTTTGATTGTAGGTGAGGATCAAAGGGACAGACTGTTTGAAGTTTGGTTTCATTTTTGGATTTGTTCATTTTGAAGATTAATTCATTCAACCTTTATTTAGACAGGTTAATCCCATTGAGCCTCGGGGACTCATTTACAAGATCAGTCGTGGTTTAGCACAATGTCCAGTGTTTTTTATTTCATATTAAACATTACATTTTTAACACCACCACATCTGCTTTTCTTTATCACAATGACAATTATTGCTCATTTTAAATAAAGGTTGATGAGATGTTAATCAAGTTACAGCAAATATTAAAACAGGTCAGATTTGTTTCTGGTTTTATAAAAACACAATGGCAGGTAAACAACATCATCTTTCATTGCTACAAATGACTCTCAGCTACAATTACCAGTACACCAACTTCCAGGTGAATTGGTTGAATTGTAGCTATTTTTTGTGGAAACGTAAACCAGTTGGCTTTGGTTGAACTGGGTTTGCTCCAAATGTTAATATGTTGTAGATGCATATCTAATGATTCTTTCCTGAAAGTTTCATTTAAATCTGTCCAGTACTTCATGAGGTATGAAGACATTGGTGCGGTAAACATTTATCAACAAGGTTGATATTTTTGATCAAAACCACATTAGTCATTCCCGTCACTTGAACAGTTTGTATGTGAGAATAAAGATGAGAAAGATTGCAGCTTTAGAGAAATGAAAAAGATAAAAATGTTATCGCCCTTGGAGATGTTTCCTACTTTCACATGTCAGGAGCTAAATCTTAGATCTGATGTTTGTACTGCTGCTGGTGAAGATAGTAAATGTCCATCGGGCAACAAAAGGTCACTTTAAATGTTAGTTTTTAGCATTTAAATTAAAGGGCAAAATGTCAGCTCTGACTTACAGATAAATATTTTCACGATGCTGCATTTTGAACGTTATCGGAGCCGTTGTGGTGAATGTAGTTTCTTTTGAGAAACGAGAACAACCAGCGTCCTGATGCTCTTGTTGCTGGTGGTTCATGTTTAAAACCCTGCTGGCAGCTCATGCCACACGCTGAAGAAAAAATACTCTTTTATTTATTAAAACTATTGGTTTAAATTAGTTTATTCTGCCTTCATTGAAGTTGGGTCAATGATACAAAGATCGACCACCAAGCCCCAAACCTGTATTAAACATCTTTTTGTACCAAATTTTCCAAACACTTGGCTCTTTTGCTTTACTTGTGGTTCCTAGAGTTTCCAAAATTAGAATGGGAGACAGAGCTTTCAGTTCTCAGGCTCCTCTACTGTTTTACCAACTTCCAGTTTCTGTCTGTGAGGCTGACGCTCTGTCTACCTTTAATCCTAGAGTTAGGGTTGACTTGGGTTTCCTGAGCTATCCCTTAGTTCGACTGCCGACCACATTTCCTCACTCTGCTGTTGTCTTTTCTTGCGCTACTGTTTAAGGTTGTGTTGCAATTATTTCTATCATTAACCTGTGTTTTTCTGTCTTTTTTCCAAAAGAACTACATCATAGGAACTACAGCTGGACCATACAAACTACAATAGTCCCTCGCTACTTCGCAGTTCGTTTTTTTTTTGTGGACTTGCTCTATCGCGATTTTTCAAAATAAGAGTGGACATGACACACAATTAGCCGATTAATGGATGAGCCGCACAGTCGGCATGGAATTTTTATTTTAAATAAATTATTTTAAGTTATGTTGCACCTGCTGCACCTGTGTGCAGCCCACAGCTGCAGGAGAAGCTTCTGTCATGAGCTCCGTTCTGAAGCGGAGAAGTGGGCGTGGCCGAGAGCAGCTGGAGGCAGAGAGATGAAATCATGACGTCCTGTGCTTTTTTTAGCGCTTTAGACTTTAGAAACATTGTTTAGAATATTGCAAGAGAAGAGTGTGGGAAGGGTTTAAAACGCATTTTGCGGTTTTTCACTTATTGCGGGGATCAGGCATCAGGGTATGGATCCTTCGTGATAAACGATGGACTACTTCACACCTGGATGATAGAAACTACATCTTGATTAAATAAACTGCACCTGGACCATAGGAACTGCAACTGGATCATAGGAACTACATCTGGACCATATAAACTACACCAGGATTATATAAACTGCATCTGGACCATAAACTACACCTGGACTACAAAAACTACACCTGGACCACATAAACTACACCTGGACCACATAAACTGCACCTGGACCATATAAACTATACATTGTCCATAAAAACTACACCTGGATCATATAATCCACACCTAGACCATAGACACCACATCTGGTCCATAAAAACTACACCTGAACTATAGAAACTACACCTGGACCACATGAACTACACCTGAACTACATGAACTACACCTGGACCACATGAACTACACCTGGACCATACGAA